CACACTCACATATTTCCAGTGCTGTTTCTAGCATGATTAAGTGAATGCTTTACTCACTTATTTTAAGTAACGTCGACTAACATCATCATTTTTACAGTGCAGGTTTCCAGAAAATATGTAAAATATCTTCTTTCATGTTCAACAGAAGACAGAAACTCAATCAGGTTGGTGAATGCGCAGTAAACGCTCACAGAATTTTCATGTCTGAGTCTAAAACACATGCAAATACAATCGTAAATGCAAAAGCCCATAAAACGAGACTCGGATTTGGTCGATCTGAAACTCAACGAGACATCATCATGAAGTTTACTAACATGCAAAATACCCTGGCCTGTAAATCAGAATTGGTAAACATCTACATCATGTTTAAATAAAGCCATTCTCCAGAGCTTTAGGGGAACTTCAGCTGATCTGGGCCAGATTTCTCATGCAGATCAGATCTCACAAACACACACACACACACACACACACACACACACACACACACACACACACACACACCTTTATGAGCAGATTTACAGGCCGCAATCTGTCAGCTTTTATAACACACATCGAGCTGCTTTACAGCCCGGACAGACCTTTGGCCTGTCTGGAGCATCTACAGAACCTTCCAGCAGCTTCTGAGAGACACACAAACACACATGCAGTGAAGCAGCGGGGCCAAATACTGCTGTACTGTACTTCAAATCAATTCAAGTGTGTTTGTGCAGCACTTTTCACCATCATTATCATTCCAAAGCAGCTTTACAAAGATTCTTGAAGTTTTTTTGATACAAGTTTTTGTCATTGCGCTTCATGTGTGGACATACAGGGCCACGGTGCGACACTGTAAACAATATCTGTTAGTGAACATTTTCCGTTTTCAGTATTTCACAAGTGTTTTGTGTTTATTTTTGGTTGTGAATTGCATTATGGGATGTTGATCTCTGCTCTGTTGACTTTTAACGCAACATAGGCTCATTCTGAAAATGTAGCCCTGTATACATTTCTGGAGATTGTGAATTATGGAGCCAGAGGAACGTATGGCTGCATTTCGTCTTTAAAACAATCGATACAGGGTGGTGTGACGCCGTTCCTTTTTGCGCTTACCAGCTGACCGCACAGCCAACATTTCCACGTGGGCCCCATCCACATGGAAAGAACCTATATAAAAATAGGGTTGAAGTCAGAATTATTAGCCCCCTTCGATTTTTTTTCTTCTTTTTAAAATATTTTTCAAATGATGTTTAACAGAGCAAGGACATTTTCACAGTATGTCTGATAATATTTTTTCTTCTGGAGAAAGTCTTATTTGTTTTATTTCGGCAAGAATAAAAGCAGTTTTGAATTTTTTATGAACCATTTTAGGGACAATATTATTAGCTCCTTTAAGCTATATATATTTTCTCGGTAGTCTACAGCAGGGGTTCCCAAACTTTTCAGCCCGCGACCCCCAAAATAACAATTCCAGTGACTCGTGACCCCCAATATCCTCTGAGGTGGTTATAAATACAGAAACCTTGCATGCAATGACGCAGACACACCAATTAAATTTGTGTCAGTGCTTTACATGTGCCAGAAAGTATAACCTGATGTTATAAAATCAAAATGCATCTGACGCTATTGCTGCCTTTAATATAATGTAATTACCCCAGGGGTCGCAATCCAATAGAACTAGTAACTATAAGCTACTATAGTAACTATATAGTATATAGTAACTATAAACGACTATTTTTATTTTCAGTATAGTTATGGATAAAATATGTTAATTCTTATGGTTTAAAAAAAAATAGATTTTTGGAAATTACCAGGCGACCCCCCTTCATTGCCCCGCGACCCCTCGAGGGGTCCCGACCCCCACTTTGAGAACCACTGGTCTACAGAACAAACCATCGTTATACAATAACTTGCCTAATTACCCTAACCTGCCTAGTTAACCTAATTAACCTAATTAAGCCTTTAAATGTCACTTTAAGCTGTATAGAAGTGTCTTGAAAAATATCTAGTAAAATATAATGGTCACACTTTACAATAAGGTTCATTAGTTAATGTTAATTAATGCATTTACTAACATGAACAAACAATGAACAATACATTTACTACAGTATCTGTTCATGTTAGTTAGCGTTAGTTAATGAAAATACAGTAGTTCATTGTTAGTTCATGTTAACTCATGGTGCATTAACCAATGTTAACAAGCACAGACTTGGATGTTAATAATGCATTAGTAAATGTTCAATTATGATTAATAAATGCTGTACATGTGTTGTTCATGATTAGTTCATGTTAGTAAATGCATTACCTAATGAACCTTATTGTAAAGTGTTACCAATATAATTTACAGTCATTATGGTAAAGATAAAATAAATCAGTTATTAGAGATGAATTATTAAAATTATTGTTTAGAAATGTGTTGAAGAAATCTTCTCCCCGTTAAACAGAAATTGGGGACAAAAGCGGTCTAATAATTTAGGGGGGCTAATAATTCTGACTTCAACTGTATATGTTTAATATGGGTTTTTATTAAGGTTTTGATATAGATTTGATATAGGTTCATATATGTATGTATATATAGGTTCTTTCCCTGTAGGCACATGGGATTTTTCTGGGCTGTGTGGGTGTCAACTGGGCATGGGCTCAGAGTGGGCATGTTGTTGGGCTGAATATGGGCCCCAGCTTGAATAAGGGTGTGGGCCCCAGTTAGGCTACTCACACAGTATATTTGTGGGTCCTAAATGGGCCACATATGAGCAAAAATTTTTTGCAATGTGTTTGCTTTTTTACAATTATAATGATTTATTTTAAATAAATAAATAAATAAATAAATACAATAATAAATTTTTTAGATAAAATGTTAAGTATTTCATATTACATTTATGTACATATGATGGTGATTATGGATATTTTGTATATGCTAAATATGAGTAATTTCTCAATAATAATACTACTATACTTCTACTACTACTACTACTACTACTACTCATAATAATAATAATTATTATTATTAATTGTATATGTAATGTGGGCTAATTCTAGACCACTCCAAACTATATAGGAGATTATTTACAGTTAAATTCAGAATTATTAGCCCCCTTTTGATTTTATTAATTTTTTAAAAAATGTTTCCCAAATGATGCTTAACAGAGCAAGGAAATGTTCACAGTATGTCTGATAATATTTTTTTCTATTATATCTATTATCTATTACTGTTATTAATTTTTTGGACACAATTTTAAGGTCAATATTATTAGCCTCTTTAAGCTATATTTGTTTTCGATAGTCTACAGCACAAATCACTGTTATACAATAACTTGCCTAATTACTCTAACCTGCCTAGTTAGCCTAATTAACCTAGTTAAGCCTTTAAATGTCACTTTCAGCTGTATAGAAGTGTCTTGAAGAATATCAAGTAAAATATTATTTACTGTCATCATGACAAAGATAAAATAATTCGTTATTAGAAATAGCTTTTTAAAACTATTATGCTTAGAAATGTGCTGAAAAAATCTTCCCTCCATTAAACAGAAATTGGTGAAAAAAATAAACAGGGGCGCTAATAATTCAGGGGGGCTAATAATTCTGACTTCAACTGTATGTATTTAAATAAACCGATTAATTCAAGATTACATAATTTCTAATAATATAAAAAACACGTACGTTGTGCATCAATCACTTGGCGTCGCGTCTTCTCATTTGAAAAAAAAAAAACAAAGAGGAAGAAGAAGAAGCCTTTTCCACTCTACTTATGGACTGACTCAGAGTTACGGACTGACTGCTTGTAAGCCCGAAAGAGAAACCGTCAATAAAACTTTCAAGGTAAGTTGTGCATTTCGTTTTGTTTTCAGTTCGTCAAACTATGTTGTTAAATCATATGTCAAGTTTTCTATATCGGGATAAAGTCTTTCATTAGTTTAACCTCCTCTGAACAACAGTTAAAGGACTGACGGATGATTATAAGTAATTTTAACTTGCTCAAACTCAGCGGATTAATGTTATTCTCAAATATCTAACGTTACAGACTTTATTTTTTAAATCCATGTCCTTATGACTTGTATCCTCTGTAGTGGACATTGCGTTTGCATGAATTTTCTTTGAATGTTTTAAGCTACTCTGTTAAGTCATGCTGTACTGTTCAGAGGACATCCTGGGCTTTCTAGTGAGATGTCATTTGATTGGCTGGCATGCTGGCAACCACTTCTTACACTGCATCCAAAATGGCCGACAGCACATTTTATGGGAAGGAGACAGGTATGTACATTTTTAGCTTTTTAAATGTTTTTTTCCTGTTATTACATATATTTGTTTATTAAAGTGCCAGGAACAATACATTTAGCTTTCAAAGTTGTTAAGAGAACTCTTTCTCTGCTGTTTCCCAGAGATGGGTTGCGGCTGGAAGCTCATCCACTGCGTAAAAATGTGCTGGATAAGTTGGCGGTTCATTCCGCTGTGGCGACCCCGGATTAATAAAGGGAATAAGCTGAAAAGAAAATGAATGAATGAAATTACTGTTTTAGTCACTGTTCAGGCATGTCCCACCGGAAGGAAGCCTTAGGGAAGACCCAGTAAACACTGGAGGTACTATGTCTCTCGACTGAGCTCGGTATCCCTCCGAAGGAGCTGGAGGAAGTGTCTGGGGAGAGGGATTCTCTCCTAAGACTGCTGCCTCCGCGACCCGGCCCTGGAAAAGCGGAGGAAAATGAATGAATGGATGAAATTACAGCTAAAAAGTCTTCTTTAAAAGTTGGTTCAAAGTATATATTAAAGTGTTTACTCCTAATCCCAACAGGGAAAACCAGCAACAGTCAAGAATGCATGATGAGATGCTGTCATGATCAATGAAGGAGATTATAATGGAAGTCAATGAAGCAAAAACAGCAGTAGTGTTTACTAGAGCAGAAGCTAGAGGTTTGTTTTGTTGTTGTCCTTCTTCCTCAGATCAGGTTGATGGTGTGTGTGTGTGTGTGTTGGTTGTTCATTAACGCACAGAGACACACCTGAGTGCGCATTTCCTCTTCAGGCTCCCTGTAAAAACACAACCGCAGAAAAGTCTCTCGGCAGTGGGTGAACGGAGCCGTTTCACAGCTATCATGTGATCTGATGGACACCTCGAGGCCTTAGACTGCGCCTGAAACACACACACACACACACACACACAGAATGAAAATGCTGGCTCTGCTGTGCTTCTGCTGGGTTTCTTTACTCGGTGTCTCCGGGTTCAATGTGTTGAGCTGTAGAAACTCGTCGGTCACATTAAACGTGGTTCTGCTGGAGGACGAAAACTCGCCCTGGAGCCTGAAGTTCGTGAAGGATGTGGTGGAAACGGCGGTGGAGGACCAAAACAACAAGAACCACGCTGAAGGTGAGAGGATATGATGTTAGCGAAGGGGTTATTTGCGACTGTGAGATCAAATAAAACAGATTAATCGATACAATGAGTTCATCTTACACTGTACAATAAATTATATGATATGATCAATTAGTCATGACAGCATGTGTTTTTAGTTAATCATGCTCTAACTTAATCTTATAAGTCGTGCAAGCTCTTTTAAGTCAGTTTAATATAAGTTCAAATGAGCTTATAAATTTAAGACAACTAGTATTTTTTTTTACAGTTTACTGTTAAAATACCTCTTAATTAACAGTTTGTGTGTGTTTATAATAAATTGCATAATGGGATGTTGATCTCTTCTCTGTCCACTTTTGGTTTTGAAGTCTAAACTCTACAGTTTAACAAAGTGAGATTAATTAATATAAGATATAATATCTAAAGCAGGTTTCTCAACTGGTTTGGCCATGGGACCCACATTTTTACATGGTCATCAGGTCGCGACGCAAAATTTTTAGGAACTATAATACAATTTTAGGAATTATAATTAATTTGCATTTATTTGTTATCATAAGTAGTGACAGATAAATCATCAGAAAATCACCAAGACTTACAAATAAACAATATTTTATTGCTGTCATTTAACAAAATGTTTCAAATTATAAAAATATTACAAATGAAAAACCACTAATACTGTTAACAGTGGTCAGGGTAAGGAAAGATTCAGTTGCCATAAACTAAACTGAACTCTTAATAAAACATGTTGTCTGATTTCCAAATGTCGTTTTAATTCAGAAGGTTTCATGCTCTCTTATGAGAGCACCTCACTACATATAACACTGAGACTTAAAGTCTTTTTTTGTCATCAAAATATGTACGTCCATACTTTATATATTCGGAGTTGCACTTGCGCTTCGACATCCCTGCTGAAAAATCCAGCCTAAACCAGCCTAGGCTGGTTGGCTGGTTTTAGCTGGTCGACCAGGCTGGTTTTAGAGGGGTTTTGGCCATTTCCAGGCTGTTTTCCAGCCATTTCCAGCCTGGTCTTAGCTGGTCAGGCTGAGAGATGACCAGCTAAAACCAGCTTGACCAGCCTAGCCAAGCTGGGAGTCCAGCCAAAACCAGCTATATCCAGCTTAAACCAGGCTGGTCAAGCTGGTTTTAGCTGGATATGGCTCGTCATTTTCCAGCCTGACCAGCTAAGACCAGGCTGGAAATGGCCAAAACCCCTCTAAAACCAGGCTGGTCAACCAGCTAAAACCAGCCAACCAGCCTAGGCTGGTCTAAGCTGGATTTTTCAGCAGGGATATTTGTTGCTAAAATTAAAGGAAATTTCACATGTCAAATGGTAGGGTTGTCGCGCATGCATTTCAAAATAAAAAGTCCAGTATAAGCAAAATATAAAGTATAAAGTATAAGCCTCAATTTAATTGAGTAATGGAGTCTTCAAAAACATGCATATTTAAGTTTATTTAACTTGCCGGTTTTGTAGATTATACTTAAATTATTCAGTTCACCAAACTTACTTAACCAAACGAGTTATTAAAACTTTTAAATAGATTAAACTTTTGTTGTTTTTTTTGACCCACTGAAAATGTTCCCACGGACCACTTTTGGGTCGCGACCCACCAGTTAAGAAACACTGATATAGAGAAATAAGTCTGTAAAATAGCAGAAAATGTGCTGCAGTTTATTACAAGGTGTTTGTAGCGTAATATACAACACCAACCCAGACAATATAGCCCTGCGGACTATTACACGTGTTCATAAAAGTTTTTACAAACTTTCAAGGTTAAAAGCTGTTGGAGGAAAGATCAAGCTCCCATAATGCAGTTCAGAAGCAGAAATAAACAGGAAAAAATTAAAACATCAATCGCAAAATACTGAAAACTGCTAATTTAGGGATATTATTTACAGTGTAGTTAGATATTAATGAAAGATCAGTGTACTTAAATAGATAAATTTCACCTAAAAATGAAAATTCTGTCATCATTTACTCTCTTTCCTTTTGATTTGATTTATTTTGAACAGAATCTCATACCCATAAATCAATTCTTCAAACAAAATACACTGAAAAAAGTGTTGCATGCAGAACTGTTGCAAACAATTTATTTGTGTTGAATTTAAACAAACTTTGGTTTGTTTAAATCCAACACAATTAAATTGTTTATAACCACTTAACGTAAAAAAAATTGAGCAAATCCCAGGAATCATCTTTGAATATTTTTTTTCAGTGTACAGTAACCCTTTAGAAGAATGTCTATATTACACTGAAAACCCTAATAAGTTGACTGAACTAAATTAATTGACTGAACTTGTTGGCTCAATTTAATTGAGTAATGGAATCTTCAAAAACTTGCATATTTAAGTTTATTTAACTTGCCGGTTTTGTAAGGCAAGGCAAGGCAAGGCAAGTTTATTTATATAGCACATTTCATACACAGTGGCAATTCAAAGTGCTTTACATAAACAGGAATAAAAAGACAAGTTTAGGAACATAAAATGAGACAATAAAAATTATTAAAAACAGATAAAAACAAATTAAAATGAGTTAAAATAGGCTATAAAAGAATGAAAAAGAAAATCAAAAACATAATAGTGCGATCTGTCAGACGCAGCACAGTGCTCATACAGTAAAGGCACAGCTAAACACATGTGTTTTCAGTCTCGTAGACTATACTTAAATTATTCAGTTCACCAAACTTACTTAACCAAACAAGTTATTAAAACTTTTATTATTAGAAATGTGCTGAAGAAATCTGCTCTCCGTAAAACAGAAATTGGGGAAAAATAAACAAGGGCTAATAATTCTGACTTCAGCTGTGTTTATATCAAACTATTTACAAATAAGGGTTACAAACTATTAACAAATAAGTGTTAGAAACCTGTAACCACGTAGTAGAAAAAACACTATGAAGTCAATGGTTACAGGTTTCCAACATTCTTCAAAATATCCTCTTTTTTCTTAAACAGAATAAAAACATATGAGTGAAGTATGACACTAAATCAAGACAGAACTGTAAATTATGACAGTAAAATATATTTGTGTTTTACTGTTTTGTGTAAATTGTGCCACTAATAGATACAGCGTTTGGTGAGTTACTTCAAAAAGTAATGAATGGCTAATTACATCATTAAACTGGCATTTAAAGTACTTTATAATTACAATACAATACAAAGATTATTTTAAAACATCCGCAGTCGACCAAAGTGCTGCACAGAGAATAAAATAACAAAGACAAGTCCACACATTTGTATACAATAAAGAGTTAGGAACAATAAAACACTAAAACAAAGAAGCATTGGAGAACTATTAAATGCACAGAAAAAATCATTCAAAGAGGATTCCTTTTACGTTAAGTGTTATAAACTATTTATTTGGGCTGAATTTAAACAAACAAAATAAGTTAAATATTAAATTCAATAAATTGTCTGCAACAGTTCTGCATGCAAAATTTTTCAGTGTGCCAATGAGAGGAGATCGCTTTTAAGAGTAGATTTAACCCTATACTAGTCTCCGGTCCGGTCATTTTGGTTTTTGAAATGATATAACTAGTCTTTTAGATTGTCTGAATGCATTTTCTAATTTCTCAGTAGTGTGTGCAGCTTTGTGGATATAGTAATACTGGAACACACGGCTGCACCATGGCATTACACCTTTTTCTTTTCTATACATCCAGATGACGGTATTTTGCCCTCGACACATTGTATTTGGATGCCAAGGTACCTGTTTTAACTGGAAATACTGCAGTAACAACAACAAACAAACAAACAAACAAACAAAATGGTGAAAAATTGCATTGTTTTCAATGGGAGGAAAACAGATGTTAATTACTGCAGAGATATTAGTTACTACCACAAATCCCTCTCAAAATGAAAAATAAAATAGGAAGAATATTATTAAACAAAAACTAATCTGTGGTGCGTTTCCCGAAACCATCGTTAGCCAACTAAGGTAGCAAGTTCCGTCGTTAAAAACATAGTTTGTTGATTTGCCAATCCCCAAATTCGTCGCTCCAACGAACATTTGAAAACTGCGTCGCAAACTTGTGTACTTGCAACTACAGCTCTGGAGCTGTAGTTAGAAACATAGTTCCTGGCTGTGTTTTATTGCCACTTATCCCCCCTACGCCCTAATCATTTAAAACATTCTAACATTTAAACTTGGAATTATGAAAAGTAAAAAAGCATTAAGGTCATCTCTCTTAGGTGTAATTTGCTTTCTAACTATTTTTACAGTTCAGTTTTAGCGATCTTCATGTGTACAACTGTGCTCCCTTCACAGTGCACTTTGAAAACATTGATGTCATTTTGAACACAGCCTCAAGCGAATGCTATAGGTGAGCTATTATTTAAAAGCAGAATACGTCTCCAAAGCTTGTGAAAACAAAAAGCAAACGTTAATTTTTACTTTATAGTGGGTTATTTATGAAGTATCTGTACTGTATTTGACATGGGCCTGCTGGGTAGAACAATTCTGCAGTGATTTACATGTGTCAAACTGTAAAAACTTTTCTCAAAAAATAAATAAACAAATAAACAATATCCTAATTTAATTGATTGCACTGAAAAAACAGTGTGTATTTTACAGGTGTTCGTCCCTTTTTGACCCGCTAAGACCACCAGTGTAGCTCACAAATAAGGAGAACCAAAGGGTTAAAAACAGACAAAGCAGAGCCTGTTCTGATGCACTTCATAACTGAAATACTCAATAAGTAATTTGATTATTTACTCAATAGTAATTCTTACAGAGGCAACTCAGTGGCGCAGTGGGTAGTGCGGTCACCTCACAGCAAGAAGGTCGTTGGTTCGAGCCTCGGCTCAGTTGGCCTTTCCGTGTGGAGTTTGGATGTTCTCCCTGTGTTTGCGTGGGTTTTCACCGGGTGCTCCGGTTTCCCCCACAGTCCAGAGACATGCAACAGGTGAATTGGGTAGGCTAAACTGTCCATAGTGTATGAGTGTGAATGAGTCTGTATGGATGTTTCCCAGAGATGGGTTGCAGCTGGAAGGGCATTCGCTGCGTAGAACATGGGCTGGATAAGTTGGCGGTTCATTTCGCTGTGGCAACCTCGGATTAATAAAGGGACTAAGCCGACAAGAAAATGAATTAATGAATTACTAATCGGTTGAAAAAAGTAAAATAAATATGTTTTATTTGTATTTCTTTTAATTGCAGTGAGTTACTTATAATGCATTTGCCTAAAACACTGTAATAAGTAATAAATATAATATTAATACATACAAATATATTTTGCTGAATAATTGTATTTATTCAGAAGCAAAGGAGTCAGATATCAGTTTATGATCATGTACAGTATGATTTAAATTCAGACAATTTTGAGTCATTGTGTTTTTGTATTCATATATTTTGCAGAGTTATTTTATTTTATTAAAGCAGTTGAAGGAGGTTTTCATTTGTCAGACAATTCTTAGCTTATAGAACTATTCATTTCTGTGAAACATTTAATATTTTGAAACATTTTGAACTCTTAAAGTAATTCTGCTTGCTAGCCAAAGGATGCTAGGTTTGTTATTAAAATGCTTTAATATTAATTAATAACTTATTGAAGCTAAAGGCCATGTTTGACTCGAATTTAAAGAATGAAAAGACTTTAATTTCTACTGTCTGTCTGCAGAGATTTATAGTGTTGAGTTTGGTGATTCAATACCTTATTGAGCAGTAGACATTGTAATTTAAAGTAATTTAAACTCAACATAATTACTTTTTTTAAGTGACTTACCCGCCACTACCCTCCTCTACAACACTGACTGGAGATCAGGTCAGATAGTCTAGATTTCAGTCTGTTTTGAATTTAGAATAGACTGGAACAGAATAGAACAGAACATCAGAAAAGAGAGGAATGAAACAAAATAGAATAGAATAGAATAGAATAGAATAGAATAGAATAGAATAGAATAGAATATACTGGAACAGAATGGAATAGAACAGAACATCAGAAAAGAGAAGAATGAAACAAAATAGAATAGAGCAGAAGAGAATAGACTGGAGCAGAATGGAATAGAACAGAACATCAGAAAAGAGAAGAATAAAACAGAATAGAATAGAACAGAATATAATACACTGAAACAGAATGGAATAGAGCAGAACATAAGAAAAGAGAAGAATAAAACAAAATATAATAGAGTAGAATAGAATAGATCGAAACATAACAGAATGGATTAGACAAGAAAGAAATAGAATAGTACAGAACAGAACACAGTAGAAATAAATGGAACAGAACAGAATGTAAACAAATGGAATTGTATAGAACAGAAACAGAATGCAACTGAAATGAGTAGAATGGGATAGGATAGAACAAAACTTAACAGAATAGAATAGAAACAAATAGAATAAAATGGATTAACTGGAACATAATGGAATAGAACAGAACATCGGAACAAAGAAAAGTGGAACAGAACAGAACAAAACATAACAGAAAAGATTAGAATGAAGTAGAACAGAACAATACATATAAATGGAACAGAATAGAATAAAAAAATGAAATTGAATAAAATAGAAACAGAATGCAACAGAAAAGAGTAGAATGGAGCAAAATAGAATTAAACAAAATGTATCAAAACACAATAGAATGAAAACAAATGGAATAGAATAGAATAAGAACAGAAAAATCAGAACAGATCAGAATGAAAGAACAGAATAGAGTAGAATAGAACAAAACATAATAGAATAGATTAGAATGAAAAAGAATAGAATAAAACAAAACAGTAAAAATAAGTGGAACAAAACAGAATAGAAATATAAGTGGAATCTAATATAGAGTAGAAACAGAACGCAACAAAAAAAGAGTAGAATGGAACAAAATAGAACAGAGCAAAACAGAACAGAATAGAAACAAATGCAACAGAATATTAAACATAAGAAACAGAATGGAGCAGAAAATAATAGAATAAATTGAAAGGAACAGAATGGAATACAACAGAATGCCAAAACAGAGTAGAATGAAACAGAATAGAATAGAGTAGAATTTAATAGAATAGAACAAAACATGACACAATTGATTATAATGGAATATAAAAAATAAAATGAAATGGAACATAATAGAATTGAATTGAAACAGTAGCAACAGAACAGACTAAAACAGAACAACATATAATAAAATGAAATGAAATAGAACAGAATAAGATGGAACAAAAAAGCAGAAGAGAGTAAAACGGAACATAACAGTATAGAACAAAACAGTAGAATAGAAATAAATGGAACAGAATAGAAAAGAAAAGAAACCAAATGGAACAGAAAAGACTAGAACAGAATAAAAAAATAGAGTCATATGAAACAATAGAATGGAATAGAATAGAACAGAAAAAAATAACAGAATAGATTAGACTGGAATAGAATAGTTCTAAATGGAACAGAATAGAATGGAATAGAATAGAATGAAATGAAATAGCAGACAGCAGAATGGAGTAGAATGGAACAGAACAGAACAGAATAGAATAAAATGGAATAAACAGATCAAAAAATAACAGAATAGATTAGAATGGCATTGTATAGAATATAAATAAATTGAAACAGTAGGGACAGAACAGACTAAAATGGAATAGAATATAATAGAATGAAACTGAACAGAAGAGGATTAAATAGAACAAAACAGAGTAAAATGTAACATAACATAATAGAAATAAATGGAACAGAATAAAATAGAAACCGAAAAGAAACTGAACGACTATAAAAGACTAGAATAGAATACAAAAGAATAGAATGAAAGGATCAGAGTGGAATAGAACAGCAGAACAGACAAGAATGGATCAAAATAGAATGAAATGAAATGGAACAGAATAGAATTGAATTGAAAAAAAAAACAGTAGAATGGAGTAAAATGTAATAGAATAGAATGGAAACAGTAGGAACAAAACAGACTAGAAAAGAACAGAATAGAACAGATCAAAACAGAACAGAACAGAACAGCAGAGTAAAATACAATAGAACACAGATCAGGTCAGTTGTCCAGTAGCCTAAATTCATTCATTCATTCATTCATTCATTCATTCATTCATTCATTCATTCATTCATTTTCTTTTCTGCTTAGTCCCCCATCAATCGCCACAGCAGAATGAACCACCAACTTATCCAGCCCATATTTTTTACACAGCGGATGCCCTTCCAGCTGCAACCCATCTCTGGGAAACATCCATACACACTCATACACTATGGACAATTTAGCCTACCCAACTCACCTGTACAGCATGTCTTTGGACTGTGGGGGAAACCGGAGCACCTGGAGAAAACCCACACAAATGCAGGGAGAACATGCAAACTCCACACAGAAATGGCAACTGACTCAGCCGAGGCTCGAACCAGCGACCTTCTTGCTCTGAGGAGACAGCACTACCTATTGTGTTACTGCATAGCCTAAATAACTAGAATATATTCCAGTTCTCTGCTAATAAACACATGTAGTCTTTTATAATGAGCTGAAGCACAGGTGAGCTGGAGCTGCTGCTGAATAAAGGGTTGTTGTTTGTGTTGTTGCAGGTCTGGACTTCCACATTAAGGTTCTGTTCAGCGGCTTCAACACCACTCATTACCGGCGCCGGGGCTGTGGCAGCAGTACATGTGAAGCGGTGGAGATCCTCAAATCTCTGCACGTGAGTCTGACCTTGACCCTTGCAGGACGTTCAGCATTATTAACAGCATTTTCCCTCGGGCGCGCTCAAACATTACACAGATTTCAGTTAAAGCTCTGTAAACCTGTAAATGTAATGCTGTGCTGTGTGTGTGTGTGTGTGTGTGTGCTGCAGAACAACAGTGAGCTGGGCTGTGTGATGCTGGGGCCGTCCTGCACATACGCCACCTTTCAGCTGGTGGAGTGAGTTCAACTCTATTTTCACCTCAACATTACTGCAGATATAGATATAGATATAATTAATGAGCTTCTATTGGCCTGTGTGAAACTATTCCTGCTGGACAACAATCAAACAACAGAAACACTGATGGAAGTTCTATTGATTTCACTAGAATAAAATTAAAACAGAGTGGAACAGAAAAGAATTGAATGAAAAAGAGAATAGAGCATAAAGAAACAGAATAGAATAGAATGACAGTCACGTCATTGGCCATGAACATTTCCTGCTTGTTATCAAACTATTTCATAACTGAGGCAAGTCAATCATAACTTAATGTTAAAACAGCGTAACATTAATTATCAATATGAGGCTCTTTTTGGATTCTCTGAAGCTGAAGAAATTAAACATGTAAAACAGGAAATACATCAGGACCATTGTTTTTATTTACATGAATCAAAAAGGTCTATACAATAGAATAGAACAGAATAAAATAGAACATAATAGAATAGTGTACAATAGAAAATAACAATAGAATAGAACAGAATAAAGTAGAACAGAATAGAACAGAACAGAATAGAATAGTGTAATAGAGAAAATAACAATAGAATAGAACAGAATAAAATAGAGCAATAGAACAGAATAGAATGAAATAGAACAGAATATAATAGTGTACACTAGAAAATAACAGAATAAAAAGAACAATAGACTAGAACAGCACAGAATAGAACAGAATAAAATAGAACAGAATAGAACAGAACAGAATAGAATAATATAGAACAGAATAGAACAGAATAAAATAGAACAGAACAGAATAGAATAATATAGAATAGAACAGAATAGAACAGAACAGAACAGAATAGAACAGAACAGAACAGACCAGAATAGAATAGAACAGAACAGAACAGAACAGAACAGAAGAGAACAGAACAGAACAGAATAGAATAGAATAGAATAGAACAGAAGAGAAGAGAAGAGAACAGAATAGAATAATATAGAATCGAACAGAATAGAACAGAATAGAACAGAACAGAACAGAACAGAATAGAATATAATAGAACAGAATAGAACAGAATAGAACAGAACAGAATAGAACAGAACAGAATAGAATAATATAGAATCGAACAGAATAGAACAGAATAGAACAGAACAGAACAGAACAGAATAGAATATAATAGAACAGAATAGAACAGAATAGAACAGAACAGAATAGAACAGAACAGAATAGAATAATATAGAATCGAACAGAATAGAATAGAACAGAATAGAACAGAACAGAACAGAATAGAATAATATAGAATCAAACAGAATAGAACAGAACAGAACAGAACAGAATAGAATAGAATAGAACAGAAAAGAATAGAACAGAAGAGAACAGAAAAGAATAGAACAGAAGAGAACAGAATACAATAGATCAGAACAGAACATAATAGAATAATATAGAATTGAAATGAACAGAATAGAATAGAACAGAATAAAAAGAAAAGATAAGAACAAAACAGAACAGAGTAGAATAGAATAGAATAGAATAGAATAGAATAGAATAGAATGAAAAGCAATAAAAGAGAATAGAATGGAACAGAACAGAACATTGGATAGATTGGAAAGGAAGAGAATGAGACAGAACCAAGAAAATTAGAATAGAATAGAACAGAATAAAATAGAGCAATAGAACAGAATAGAATGAAATAGAACAGAATAGAATAGTGTACGCTAGAATAGAAGAGAATAAAAATAACAATAGACTAGAACAGAACAGAATAGAATACAATACAATACAATAGAACAGAATAAAATGGAACAGAATAGAATAGAACAAAACAGAAAAGAATAATATACAATCGAACAGAATAGAATAGAATAGAACAGAAAAAATAGAACAGAACATAATAGAATAATATAGAATTTAAGTGAACAGAATAGAATAGAACAGAATAAACAAGAACTGATAAGAACAGAACATAATAGAATAGAATAGAATGAAAAGCAATAAAAGAGAATAGAATGGAACAGAACAGAACAGTGAATAGATTGGAAAGGAAGAGAATGGGACAGAACCGAGAAAATTAGAATAGAATAGAACAGAACTAAATAGAAAAGAACAGACTATAATACAAAAAATGAAATGGAATACAATATAATAAAAACAAAATGGAACTGAACAGAATAGAAATGAATAAAATAGTATAGAAATGGAAATGGAAAGAGTACAGTGGAATACAATAGAAAGAAATGGAATAAAACAGAACAAAACAGAACAGAACAGATTAGAATAGATGTGAACTACATGGAACCGAGTTGAATATCATACAAAAGAATTATACAATAAAAAGTTTGTAAGCACAGAAAATGCTAAATATCCCTGCTTAACAACAACAACAACAACAACAACAACAACAACAACAACAACAACAACAACAACAACAACAACAACAAAACTATAGAAACTCTGTCAGAAGTTCACATGGTTTCCACTACAAACACCATTAAAGAGCTTTTATCCAATCAGTCTTTCCAGTCTCTCATTCTTATTGGTTGAGCCACATTCAAAGCTGTTGTAAAATACTGTACAAACACACACTCATGACTGTTGCTTAGCAACCATTCCATTATCATTACTGAGCCAAAGAAACAGTACATTTGCTGGTTTATTCAGTGAACGCTTGCCGCAGTGTGTCTTTGATGTAACTGTTCTATAAAAGCAATAAACCCTGTGAAGCCGTGGTTTACGGTCAATTTATAACAGCTAATGGGGTTTCAGGCGCTCTACATCACCGTCCCTCAGCTGTTATAGAGTCCATGTAAATAAGCCACAGTGTTTTGGGGGTTTATTGGTTTAATAAACCAACAACAAACAACCATCAAAACCAGAAGACCTGAAAGATTTCTAATGTGTGTTAGGACTTTCTCTTGTTGATTTTATTTTTAGTACCACAACAGACCACATTAAAGCCAACACAATCTCCATACTAACCATCAAAACCTTTTCCAATTCTATGAAGACTGCTATAGTTTAGTTTTTTTCTCCAGCAGGGCTTTAAAGTGTTAGTAATGATGAAGGAAATGATTTGTGTGTGACTGTGTGTGTGTGTGTGTGTCAGTCAGGAGGTGGGTCTGACTCTGACCATCCCCATCATCTCGGCGGGCAGTTTCGGTCTGTCCTGCGACTATAAGCAGAAGCTCACCCGTCTGCTTCCTCCGGCGCGCAAAATCGCAGAGTTCTTCTTCCACTTCTGGCACACGTCTGTCAAGAATCTGAAGCCGGCGTGGAAAACTGCCTATGTGTATAAAAAAGACAACTACACAGAGGAATGCTTCTGGTAATCACACTGAAACACTCACACATTCAGAACACACACAGAGATACTGTACACGCAGCAGCCTGAGGTGTGTGTGTGTGTCCGTCAGGTACATCAATGCTCTGGAGGCTCCGTCTGCTCTCTTCTCCTCCAACATTTCCAGAGAGATGCTGAGGAGTGAGTCTGAGCTGTCGACAGCGCTGAAGAGAAAAGACCGACACAGCAACAGTGAGAAAACACCGGGCTATCATACATACACACATCCATCCATCCATCCATCCATCCATCCATCAATCTGCACATCCATCCATCTGCACATCCATCCATCTGCACAGCCATCCATCCATCCATGAATATACCTACCATCCACCAATCTACATACCAATCCATCAATCCATCCATCAATCCACAAACCTACCATCCATCCACATACTTATACACTCATAAACCCTTCTATCCATCCATCCATCCATCCATCCATCCATTAATCCACAAACCTATCTATCTACCTACCATTCATTCATCTGCTTACATATCCATCCATCCATCCGTCCACAAACCTACCAACCATCCACATACTTACTCATAAACCCTTCTATCCATCCACCCATCTATTAAAATACTTATTATTCATCCATCCATCAAATACACATACTACCAAATCCATCCATCCATCCATCCATATACCTATCCATCCATCAATCTACATACCTATTCATACATCCATCCACATCTACCCATGCATTCATTTGTATATCCATCCATCCATCCATCCATCCATCCATCCATCAATACACATAACATCCCATCTTTTCACCCATCCATACATCCATCCATTCATCTACATACCTACCATCCATCCATCAATCTATTAACATACCCATCTATCCCTCTACATACCTACCATCCATTCATCTGCACACATTCATCTATCCATCCTTCCATCAACTACCAACTACCAATCCAAATATCTATCTATCTATACCTACAATCCATCCATCCTTCCATCAATTCAGATACCCATCCATCCATCTACATGCCTACCATTCAACCATCCCTCTATCCATCCTTCCATCAACTTATATACCATCCACCAATCCAAATACCTACCCAAATATCCATCCATCCATCCATCCATCCATCCATCCATCCATCCATCCATCCATCCATCCATCTATCTATCTATCTATCTATCTATCTATCTATCTATCTATCTATCTATCTATCTATCTATCTATCTATCTATCTATCTGCATATACATCTATCCATGCATCCATCCATCCATACCTACCATACATCGATCCATCCATCCACCCATCCATTAATTCACATGGCCATCCATCCATTCATTTATCCATCCATCCATCCATCCATCCATCCATCCATCCATCCATTAATTCACATGACCATCCATCCATTCATTTATTCATCCATCCATCCATCCATCCATCCATCCATCCATCCATTAATTCACATACTTATCTATTCATCCATCCACATACCTACCATCCATCCATCCATCCACGCATCCATCATAATTCTTCAGTATAAAGTCAGTGTGTGTGTGTGTGTTCTGCAGTTATCGTCATGTGTGGGACTCCAGATGACATTTACACCATTAAGAAAAACAACACAGTTCCTTCTCAGGTGGTGTTCATCCTGATCGACCTGTACAAGTGAGTGTGTGTTTCCCCTCATGCTGTCAGTGTTGTTATGAGTGTTTCTCCAGCTGATGTGTGTGTGTTTCAGTGAGGGTTACCGCACCAATGAGTCCAGCCCTGCACACATGAGGAACGTGCTGGTGCTGACCATGCACAGCTTCAGGAACTACTCCAGCAACAGTGTCTGGAGGAACAACACTACGGTTAGTGGCTGATCCTGGACCAGTGTACTGCCAGTGTACTTTAATAATCTATGAAAATAATATTTTGTTACTGCAGCTCCAAAACATACCTATCCATCCATCCATCCATCCATTCACATACCTATCATCCATCCACATACCTATCATCCATCCATCCATCCATATATCCACATACCTATCATCCATCCATCCATCCAAATACCTATCATCCATCCATCCATCCATCCATCCATCCATCCATCCACATACCTATCATCCATCCACATACCTATCCATCCATCCATCCATCCATCCACATACCTATCATCCATCCACATACCTATCCATCCATCCATCCATCCATCCATCCATCCATCCACATACCTATCATCCATCCATCCACATACCTATCATCCATCAATCCCACCCAATCAACCAACCATCCATCCACCTAACCAACCAACCATTCATCCATCCATCCATTCATCCACCCAATCAACCATCTATTCATCCACCCAATCAACCATTTATCCATCCACCAACCAACCAACCGTCCATCCACCTAACCAACCAACCATTCATTCATCCATCCATCCATCTATCCATCCATCCATCCATCCATCCATCCATCCATCCATCCATCCATCCATCCATCCATCCATCCATCCAATCAACATCCATCCACCGACCCAATCAACTATTCATCCATCCACCCAATATACCATCAATATATCCACCTAACCAACCAACCATTCATCCATCCATCCATCCATCCATCCATTCATCCATCCATCCACCTAACCAACCAACGATTTATCCATCCATCCACCCAATCAACCATCCATCCACCAACTAGTGACCCACTAGTGTTGACATTTCACTGGTCTTCACATATTAAAAATGCTTATAAATGGTCCAGAAGATGTTGTTCATGAGTATCTGATGATGTGCAGATGTTTCAGTGAGGGTTGGATTAAGGTTAAGGTTAGGGCTAGGGTTAGTCCATAGACACTATCATTAACCTGGGAGTAAGGACATTACATGAAACAAACCTGTGTGTGTGTGTGTGTGTTTGTGTGTGTGTGTGTGTGTGTGTGTGTGTGTGTGTGCGCGTGTTCAGGTATTGGTGGATATTATAAACTAGACAGCAGTGGAGATCGAGATCTCAATCTGTCTGTGGTTTACACAACCGGCTCATACAAGGTAAGATCTGGGATTTAATTCTCCTATTCATTCTTCAAATATTGTTTATTGTTATTATTAAAATACAGAAAAGGTGTTTGCATTATTACTGTAAATTCAATGCAATGACTCCATAATATATACTTGGTGGGGGTTCAACCCAGAGATGTATTGTACTAGAGAAGTAAACTGTGTGTTTGTTTTCTGCAGTGTGTTTAGTGTTACTCTGTTGTGTGTCTGCAGTACCGGACGCTGTTTTCTTTCGACACGTCTCAAAACAGGACGAAGGTCAAAGACAGCAGTCCGGATCTGCCCTGGGACCGATCGCAGCTGCCCCGCGATAAACACACCGGTAAACATTCACTAATAAAACAATGCGGAAATGGATGATTAAAGTTCAAGATGAGAGTAAAAATTACAACAGTCAAAACTCTGACTTATAAATTAAAATAATGTAAAAAAAAAGTGAGATTAAAAAAATTAAATGGTCATTCAAATTAAATGACGACACAAAAAGTAGAAGTCACACACTACAAAAAATGCTTTACTTCAAGTTTTTGTCTTGTTTCCAGTCTAAATTGCAGCATATACTCATTCTGAAAATGTACCCCTGTATACATTTCTGGAGATCACAAATTATGTAGCCAGAAGTACGTATGGCTGCATTTCGTCTTTAAAGTGAACGCTACGGGGTGGTATGACGCCGTTCCTTTTCGCACTTACCAGCTGACTGCTCACCTCTGTATGGACGGCTTCCTGCTGTTATCGGTTCGTCCAGTAGCTCGCCATGTACATCTGCAGACTTGATACGCAGAGAGGAGTTGACCGCGATGACTGGGTTCAAGTCTGGCAAGGAATGGTTACAGAAAGTGGGTAAAACAAAAACAAAAGGCAAAAAATAAAACAAACAAGTAAATAACAGGGCGACATTGTGGTAAAAAATCTGAAAACGTGGTAAAAAAAATAAATAAAATTTTTGTCTTTTTCTGGATTGCTTTTGAAAATACTGTGGTTGAGTTTAGGGAAATGGGTGTGCAGGTCAATCTGTGCTCTTGAAAACACTATTGGTTGGGTTTATGGAAGGAGAAGGGTGTGTCAGTCAGTCGACAGCGGCCTCTGGTGGATTTACTTGAGAACAGCAGGCTTGAATGGCACTCATGAGAGAAATATCAGATCTCAAAAAGCGTACACAGCGACCTCTGATGGATTCACAAAAACTGCAAAGAAAAAAAAAAAAACAGGAGACGTATTTGGCGCTCTCCAGAAATGTATACAGGGGTACGTTTTTATAATCACCCTGTGTTTCCAAATATCTAAAAATTCTTAAATCAAGAAGCATTTTCTAGACAAACAAAAAACATAGTCTTGTTTTAAGAAATAATATGCCAAAATGTACTGAGTTATAACAAGCAAAATAATCTGCCAATCTGTTGCTTACTTGAGGCACTCCTCTGGGCCCAGATCAGTGCTTCCAGATTGAGTGGTTTTGGATTTAATTGTGCTTCAGCTAATTCAGTGGTAGCCTATGTAACCCCACCTGTCCTACACCGCCCAACCCGCTCCGAGCTGGGATCAAACCGGCTACCTTCCGCAAGGGAGTCGGTTGCTCTAACAAGGAGGCTAAAGACCATGACCCCTAGTGGCTGTCGCTATAGCACCTTTAGAGGTCAGAGGAGTGAGGTTTACCTGCACAGCACACACTAGCTGGCCTCCGATACACTTAGCTGCATAAAAAGCTCAGCACAGTGCTCTTTTCCAAAGTCAAACCTCTAAAGACTTGCTGATGCATCGTACAAACTTATCATTGAAAATCTCATGCTTATGAAAGAGGAAGTATAGTGAAGTAAAAGCACTGTTAAATCATTTAATAAACACATAAGGCAGGTATAAAACACCCTAAACGAGACATAAAGTAATGAAGTGTGTGTAGTGTGTTGCTATTAACCTCGTATGTGTGCAGAGAACACTTGTGACGTGGGTTTGTGCGTGTCTGTGTGTGTTTCAGGGATGGAGATTCAGGAGATCATGATGATTGTTCTGGGTCTTAGTGTTGTCTTGGCCACTGTCATCGCCTTCATCCTCTACAGGTACAACACACACACACACACACACACACACACACACACACACACACACACTAAGGTAACAATACTCACATCCATATTGCGTCCACTGAAGTGTTCATGAAGTGTATGTGTGTGTGTGTTCAGGCAGAACCGGCGCGTTCGTTTCGATCAGAAGAAATGGTCTCACATCAGCTCGTCTCTCATCACACCGCTGGACGATAAAGAGAGAAACTACATCAGTCTGACGGTAAACACACCTCAACTTATATGCACACATGTGTGTGAGTACATTTGCATATCTGTGTGTGAGTTTGAACATTTTTGTGTATGTGTTTGTATGCATGTGTGTGCATGTATTCATGTGTGTGTCTATGTTTTGCATGTGTATCATGTTATATGTGTGTGTGTGTGTGTGTGTTGCAGATCGATGAAGATAAGAAAGGCGACAACAGCTCCCTGATACGCAAAGGCCGATATGATAAAAAGGTGTGTGTCGTCTTGTGTGTGTGTGTGTGTGTGTGTGTGTGTGTGTGTTATCAGCTATTGTTTTTTAGTCTGAGTTCAGTGTCAACTCTACAGAAACCGGTAGAAAATGCATCCTTTTTTCAGTCTGATTGGGGGAGTTTAACTCTTAATATCTGGCAACCACAAGCATTAACACACATTTTTAACCTCATTTTGAACATTTTCCCAATAAAATGTGGCTGTTTTCTGGAGACTCTTTTGATTTATGTAGTTTTGTCAGCAAATAGAGCTGTTTTAGTTATTGTAAAAGCACTTAAATCCTCAGCAGATCATCATATATGAGCTTATAATGCTTTTGTGATCAGTGATGTTGAAAATGCCCTGGTCTGCATGTCTGAGATCTGGCAACCGGAGTATAGCCGCAGCTGCTGTTCATGGAAAACACTCACTGATTAACTCCTGGCTCACTTATTGTGCTCATGAAAACTGTGTGTAATATTTAAAATGTGTGTGTGTGTGTGTGTGTGTGTGTGTGTGTGTGTGTGTATGTCTGTGTACATGTGTTTGTCTACCTGTCTGTGTGTATGTGTACATGCATGTGTCTGTGTATATGATTTTGCATGTGTCTCTGTACATGTGTGTGTGTGTTTGTTTGTGTGTATCTGTGTGCACATATATGTGTGTGTGTGTTTCTGCAGCCAGTAATCCTGAAGGAGTTGAGAAACACTGATGGAAACTTCACAGATGATCAGCGCATCGAGCTCAACGCGGTAAAACACTCATTTACACACTTTACACCCCTCACTCTGGAGGAGAAACACACTCAGAGCCTTCTGGTGTGTGTTGATGTGATTTTTAATTGTTGTCGCTGTGTAGTAACTCTAGTGACAGAGCGACCATCGTGTTATTGATCACCTCCCTGACTAAGGCCCTTCTCCCCCGATCCCTCAGCTTAGATGGCCGGCCAGCTTAGGAAGCGTCCTGGTGGTTAAACATCTTCCACTTACGGATGATGGAGGCCGCTGTGCTTATTGGAACTTTCAGAGCAGCAGAAATGTTTCTGTAAGCTTCCCCAGCCTTGTGCCTCCAGACAATCCTATCTCAGGAGATCTATAGACAATTCCTTTGACTTCATGCTTGGTTTGTGCATTGTCATGCACTGTCAACCCTGGGCCCTTATATAGACAGGTGTATGCCTTTACAAATCATGTCTAATCAACTGAATTGAGCACAGATGAACTCCAATGAAGCTGCTGAAACATCTCAAGAACGATCAGTGGAAACAGAATGAACCTGAGCTCATTTTAGAGCTTCATGCCAAAGGCTGTCAATACTGATGCACATGTGATTTATTTTATTTTTATTTATTTATTTCACAGTGTGTTTAATAGCAAAAAGAAACAGTTCATTTTGCTGTTGTTTATGCTGTTGTTTTAATTGTAAATGTGTGTGTGTGTGTGTGTGTGTGTTTCTCAGCTGCTGCGGATCGATTATTATAATCTGACCAAGTTTTACGGGACAGTGAGGTTCGACTGCGGTGTATTCGGGGTGTTCGAGTTCTGCGAGAGAGGATCGCTGAGGGTAAAACTCATCTCTGTATTTCTGCGTGTGTGTGCATCTCTGTTAAAAAAAGTGAGTGTATGCGTGTGTGCAATTGTTTTGGTGGTTTAAAAGGAGACAAATGCGTTTAAAGACATGACGTCGGTCTTACAACACTGATACGGTTTATGAGGACACGTCATGTCCTTGTAATTCCCCAAATGAGCACTAAACGTCCCCAATAGAATAGAAAACAATCAGAGAATTCTGACAGTGTGTGTGTGTGTGTGAGAGAGAGAGTGTATGCGTGTGTGCATTTGTTTTGGTGGTTTAAGTTGAGACAAATGTGTATAAAGACATGACGTCAGTCTTACAACACTGATATGGTTTATGAGGACACGTCATGTCCTTGTAATTCCCCAAAATGCCTAATAAAACATACTTAATTTCTGACATTAAATATTGGCCCCAGGTGTCCTGTGAGGGTTGGGTTTAGGTGTGGAGTATGGAGAGTCCTTGTAAACCACAATTACTAACATGTGTGTGTATTAGTGTGTATATGCTGTGTAATACATGTGTCTGTGTGCATTATGGTCTTATGAGTGTGTTTATGCTACACCATGAGCACTAAACGTCCCCATTAGGATAGAAAACAATTAGAGAGTTTTGACAGTGTGTGTGTGTGTGTGCATTTGTTTTGGTGGTTTAAGTTGAGACAAATGTGTATAAAGACATGACTTCAGTCTTACAACACTGATATGGTTTATGAGGACACGTCATGTCCTTGTAATTCCCCAATATGCCTAATAAAACATACTTAATTTCTGACATTAAAAATTGGCCCCAGGTGTCCTGTGAGGGTTGGGTTTAGGTGTGCAGTATGGAAAGTCCTTGAAAACCACAATTACAAACATGTGTGTGTGTATTAGGGTGTATATGCCGTGTTATGCATGTGTCTGTGTGCATTATGATCTTATGAGTGTGTTTATAATACACCGTGAGCACTAAACATCCCCATTAGGATAGAAAACAATCAGAGAGTTCTGACAGTGTGTGTGTGTGTGTGTGTGTGTGTATGCATGTGTGCATTTGTTTTGGTGGTTTAAGTGGAGACAAATGTGTATAAAGACATGACGTCAGTCTTACAACACTGATATGGTTTATGAGGACACGTCATGTCCTTGTAATTCCCCAAAATGCCTAACAGAACATACTTAATGGCATTTGTGACATTACAAATTGGCCCCAGGTGTCCTGTGAGGGTTGGGTTTAGGTGTGGAGTATGGAGAGTCCTTGTAAACCACAATTACCAACATGTGTGTGTGTATTAGGGTGTATATGCTGTGTAATACATGTGTCTGTGTGCATTATGGTCTAATGAGTTTGTTTATGATACACCATGAGCACTAAACGTCCCCATTAGGATAGAAAACAATCAGAGAGTTCTGACAGTGTGTGTGTGTGTTTGTGCGTGTGTGCATTTGTTTTGGTGGTTTAAGTTGAGACAAATGTGTATAAAGACATGACGTCAGTCTTACAACACTGATATGGTTTATGAGGACACGTCATGTCCTTGTAATTCCCCAAAATGCCTAATAAAACATACTTAATTTCTGACATTAAATATTGGCCCCAGGTGTCCTGTGAGGGTTGGGTTTAGGTGTGGAGTATGGAGAGTCCTTGTAAACCACAATTACCAACATGTGTGTGTGTATTAGGGTGTATATGCCGTGTTATGCATGTGTCTGTGTGCATTAAGGTCTTATGAGTGTGTTTATGATACACCATGAGCACTGAACGTCCCCATTAGGATAGAAAACAATCAGAGAGTTCTGACAGTGTGTGTGGTGTGTGTGTGTGAGAGAGAGTGTGTTTGTATGCATGTGTGCATTTGTTTTGGTGGTTTAAGTGGAGACAAATGTGTATAAAGACATGACGTCAGTCTTATAACACTGATATGGTTTATGAGGACACATTTTGTCCTTGTAATTCCCCAAAGTGCCTAATAAAACATACTTAATGGCATTTGTGACGTTAAAAATTGGCCCCAGGTGTCCTGTGAGGATTGGGTTTAGGTGTGGAGTATGGAGAGTCCTTGTAAACCACAATTACCAACATGTGTGTGTGTATTAGGGTGTATATGCCGTGTAATACATGTGTCTGTGTGCATTATGATCTTATGAGTGTGTTTATAATACACCGTGAGCACTAAACATCCCCATTAGGATAGAAAACAATCAGAGAGCTATGACAGTGTGTGTGGTGTGTGTGTGTGTGTGTGTGTGTGTGTGTGCGTGTGTGTGTGTGTGTGTGAGTGTATGCGTGTGTGCATTTGTTTTGGTGGTTTAAAAGGAGACAAATGTGTATAAAGACATGACGTCAGTCTTATAACACTGGTGTGGTTTATGAGGACACATTTTGTCCTTGTAATTCCCCAAAGTGCCTAATAAAACATACTTAATGGCATTTGTGACATTAAAAATTGGCCCCAGGTGTCCTGTGAGGGTTGGGTTTAGGAGTGTAGTATGGAAAGTCATATATTACCAACATGTGTGTTTGTATTAGGGTGTATATGCTGTATAATGCATGTGTCTGTGTGCATTATTGTCTTATGAGTGTGTTTATGATACACCATGAGCACTAAACGTCCCCATTAGGATAGAAAACAATCAGAGTTCTGACAGTGTGTGTGTGTGTGTGAGGTCAGTGTAGACCATGAGGGACAGAAATATTAAAAATGTGAAATGATGTTTATTTGAGAGTGTAAAAATGTGAAAGGGTCTTCCTAACAGGTTTGGTTCGAGGATAGAAAATATAATTTGTTCAGAAGCCTACGGCAAGTCCCTATTCACAGAAACATAATGTGTGTGTGTGTGTGTGTGTGTGTGTGTGTGTGTGTGTGTTTCAGTATGTGCTGGATGATAAGATCTCTTATCCTGATGCCAGTTTTATGGATCTAGAGTTCAGGATTTCCGTCATGTATGACATCGCCAAGGTGAGTGTGTGTGTTTGATCTTTACTGCTGTGTCTATAAAGCACACTCATCTACTGGCTGATGTCTTTATGACGATCACAGATGCGTTGCTGAATGCAAACACAAGCGTCCTCACAAACACCAGTGCAAATCTGAGACCATTATATACAGCACATCGCTCCAGGCCTTGATTCTGATTGGCTGATAAGCTGTTGTAAAACACTCAACAAACACACACTTTTTATTGTTGCTTGGCAACTGTTCCGCTATTATTACTGAGCTAAAAACGTTGTGTTTGTGATTAAACACTCTTTAGTTTAGTGTGTTAATGATGGTTGATTTCGAAGCAATATACACAAAGCTTTAAAACCGTTACGAATCTTTTGTTTCGAGTCAGTGGTCAGAGCCAGTGCTTAATTTGTAAATCTTGAGGTCCCGGAATAGATCAGGGTAATGGACCAGAGGATGGAGAGGTGTTGTAGATGCAAGTAAAGATTAGGGGGGGGTCTTGGAAGAAAGTAAAGAGCAAGGCAGGGCAGGGGTGCATGTGAGGAGGAGGTTCCAGATCTGGGACATCTTGTTCCAGCACAAATTAAGCCCTGGTCTGAGCACATATAAAATTGTCTAGGTCACATGATTTCAGTAAATGGGGGTTTGTGTCATCATCACTGTTTTGAAATGTTACAAAAATGCAATGTTTGTCCACTAGGGGGCGACCTGTGTGATACTGTAAACCAATGACTGTAAAAAATATGGACGATGCGACAGCCCCTTTTCCCATTGAACACCTTGAGGGCAAAACGCCTGCTTGACGGGCACAAACTGTCGCAAAAGACTGCTGAAATTTGAGCCTTGACATGCGCAGAAGGACTGTCTGATGGAGCCAGAGGAGGAGCCGCGAAAATGAGCGGAGTCGAGCTTCCAACCAAACGCTTTATGTAAAATCAACCACGCCCCCCGAACTGCTCAGCATGCGTTTGCTGTCATATCAACACAAATGGATGTAATAACGTTAACAAATATGAGGGTTTTATATATTCAATCGTGCCAGCTCCGGGTCGCAGCGCATAACCTACTCACGGCGTCGCGGGCTGATTCCGGCTCGCATGCGGCAGCGCCGGCAAGCTCGGCCGCCGCATCTGGCTCGATTGACTCGGGCTGGAATCGGGCAGTGAGTCCAGGCATCCGGAGTAGGTCCAGCAGAGGTAGTCAGTCTGAGCTCTGAGGCGTAAGTCTCCGGCAGGCGAGAATCTAGCCGAACTGGTCCGAGTGTATTTTGCCATCTGGGTGGCTAGGCGTGTATCAGCAAACTAATAAAGCCCGAAAAAAGCCCTGACCTTAGCGAATAAACAGTGTTCCACCAGGATCATGTATGTCAGAAACTGTAGTTTACTGCTGAACTCATTTTGGTAAAATAACACAGAAATCGAATAATAACACTTCAGTCTCCTGCCGAAGCTCAGACGCGCTGCTTTGAGAAACTGTCAATCACAGCTGTCAATCACGATGACACGCCCAGCATTAAATTACTGCTAAACACAAACTGTTTACAAAAATGAGGTGCACCTATTTCAGCACAATAACCAGTGCCTTAATCCACCAGAACCATCTTTCGGGACATTTTATTGCAAGTGTAATAATTTTTTTTTTTTGGACTCAAGTCTCCTTTATTAACATGGAGGAGGCGGGCTTTATGACTTGTACTGCAGCCAGCCCCCTGGGGGCGATCTAACGGCCGAGACCTTCACTCAAACACAGGCTTGCGGCACACTTGCTGTAAACTCCACTTTACTCAGATCGCCCCCTAGTGGAAAAACATTGAACAGGTTTTATAGTTATCTCCTGATCTCAGATCAGTTTTACCAGTTTACAGATGTTTTAATGAGACATTTGTAAAATGAAAGAGAATAATAGTTTAAATAGTCATTAATAGCACTAAATAAGCCTTAAAAATCTATAACAGAACACACATTATTGCAGATATGTATGTTTGAAAACGTCTTTGTATTTTTCATATATTTTTCGTACTCCTCCGGAAAAAGGTGGTTTGTCATGTCCAGGTTGGTGGAAAGTCCTTACCCCAGGTGGAGAAGTTCAAGTATCTTGGGTTTTTGTTTACGAGTGAGGGAAGGATGGAGTGTGATTGACAGGTGGATCAGTGCAGCAGTTACCCCGATCTGTTCCAGGACCTTGCAACTCACAAATTAAGCACTGCTCTCACCTATGGTCATGAGCTTTGGGTCATGACTGAAAGGACAAGATCTCGGACGCACCATTATAGAAAGGTGAGGAGCTCTGTCACCCAGGAGGAGCTTGGAGTAGAGGGAAGTCCACATCGAGAGAAGTCAGCTGAGGTGGCTCAGGCATCTGTTTTGGATGCCTCCGGGAAGCCTACCTAGGGAGGCGTTCCAGGCATGTCCCACCGGGAGGAGGCCTCGGAGAAGACTTAGGACACGCTGGAGGAAATATGTCTCTCGGCTGGCCTGGGAACGCCTTGGGATCCCCCCAGAGGAGCTGGAGGAGGTGTCTTGGGAGAGGGAAGTCTGGGGTTCTGCTGCCCCCACGAACGGGCCCAGGAAAAGCAGATGAACATGAATGAATAAATTAAATATTCATACTAATGTAGTTTTTGTTGCATTTACACAATTTTGCCCAGCAGGTGTCACTAGCATGTGCTGTTTCGATGATGCTTCGAAATTGGATCAATTGTTTCCAAGCTTTGAAAAGTATCACTAGTGTGTGTGTGTGTGTGTGTGTGTTCAGGGCATGTCGTACCTGCACTCCAGTAACGTGGGTGTTCACGGCCGCCTCAAATCCACCAACTGTGTGGTGGACAACCGTATGGTGGTGAAGATCACCGACTTCGGCTGCAACACCATCCTGTCGCCGGGCAAAGGTCAGTGATGCCACTTCCTGTTCTTCAGCTCTTGGGAAACACTGCAGCTACAGAAAGAAAGCACATTAATATTATTATAAGATACATCAGCATGATACATCACAAGGTTCCAGTAGTTCATGTAGGTTACTGTGTTTACTAAAAAACATTGTCCCAAATCACACACTATACACTATGCACTTAATCCACTTGGTCTCGCAAAACAAAGCCCAGTATTGGCAGCAAAATATCAGACTGAAGTAAATGTGATAATCCTGCAGCTCTTTGATAAAGAGGTGGAACTGTTTATAAACTATAATAACACACATACAATCGAATATGTAACACTGTTTTTGGACATTTTAATGAAAACAGTACATACAGGTATTGCGCCCTTAACGAAAACATTATTCTGAAAATGTACTCCCGTTTGGACAATGCAAGATGGCGGAATGAACCACCAACAATTCCAGCAAATAATGTTTTGCACAGCGGATGCCCTTCCAGCTGCAATCTAGTACTGGGAAACACCCATACACACTCATTTACAAACACACTCATACACTACGGCCAATTTAGTTCATCAATTCCCCTATGGCGCATGTGTTTGGACTGTGGGGGAAACCAGAGCACCCAGAGGAAACCCACACCAATACGGGGAGAACATGCAAACTCCACACAGAAATGATAACTGACCCAGCCGAAGCTTGAACCAGCGACCTTCTTGCTGTGAGGTGACAGTGCTAACCACTGAGCCACCATGTCATACGGTCAATCAACTAATGTCTTGTGAAATGAAAAGCATTGCGTATGTAAAATGTTTACAGTGTCAGTCAGATGAACACCTGATATGTGTGTGTGTGTGTGTGTGTGTGTCTGTGTGTGTGTGTGTGCAGACCTGTGGACGGCACCGGAGCACATGCGTGTCGAAGGTATTTCCCAGAAGGGCGACGTCTACAGTTTCGCCATCATCTCACAGGAGATCATCCTGAGGAAGAGTCCGTTTCACACCAGCTGCTGCTCCGACATGGCAGGTACACACATATACACACACACACACACACACACACGCACACACACACACACACACACACACACACACACACAGACACAGACACAGACACACACACACACAGCTGGAGGAGTATCGTTACTGATTACACATTACAGGGCAAAATGTGTAGTCAGTAATATAATCTTTTAGATTTATGCAAATGTAATCTGAGTAATTTTATATTACTTTTAGATTACTTTTGTGCTTATTGGATGTCCCATATGTGCGGTACGGTAACATATGGTATACATTTATAGTAATGTAATATTGGTATTTTTGGATTACATTTAGATTACTTTTGTTTTAACCCTGTTCTGATGCCCCATATGTACGGTATGGTTTTTTTATGGTAGACTTTTAATGTAATCGGAGTACTTTTGGATTATATTTTGATTACTTTTTCACCAAACCTTATTTGAAGCCCTAGATCAGGGGTCACCAATCTGTTTTTCTGGACTGGAGGTCCAGTGCCCTGCAGGGTTTAGCTCAAATTTGCCTCAACACACCTACCTGGGTGTTTCAAGTATACCTAGTAAGACCTTGATTAGCTTGTTTAGGTGTGTTTGATTAGGATTGGAGCTCAAATCTGCAGGACACCGGACCTCCAGGAACAAGTTTGGTGATCCCTGCCCTATATGTATGGTATGGTAATGCATGGTAGACATTTATAGTAATGTAATCCAAGTAATTTTGGATTACATTTAGATTACTTTGTGTTAACCCTTTGTTTCATGCCCGTTATGTATGGTATGGTAACGCATGATAGACATTTATAGCAATTTCATCAAACTACTTTTGGATTACATTCAGATTAATTTTGTGCTAACCCTTTAATTGATGCCTAAAATGTACGGTATGGTAACATATGGTAACATTTATAGTAATGTGGTTGAAATACTTTTGGATTTAATTTAATTACTTTTGTGTTAACCTTTATTTGATGCCCATATGTACGGTATGGTAACATAAGGTAGACATTTATAGTAATGTAATCTGACTACTTGGCAACGCAGTGGCGCAGTAGGTAGTGCTGTCGCCTCACAGCAAGAAGGTCGCTGGGTTGCTAGTTCGAACTTCCGCTCAGTTGGCGTTTCTGTGTTAAGTTTGAATGTTCTCCCTGCGTGCGCGTGGGTTTCCCTCACAGTCCAAAGACATGTGGTACAGGTGAATTGGGTAGGCTAAATTGTCCGTAGTGTATGAGTGGGTGTGTGTGTGTGTGTGTGTGTGTGGATGTTTCCCAGAGATGGGTTGCGGCTGGAAGGGCATCCCCTGTGTAAAAACGTGCTGGATTAGTTGGCAGTTCATTCCGTTGTGGTGACCCCGGATTAATAAAGGGACTAAGCTGAAAAGAAAATAAATGAATTAACTTGACTACTTTTGGATTACATTTAGATTACTTTTGTGCTAATGTAATCGGAGTACTTTTCCACTAAACCTTTTAGATGTTTTATTCATTTATTTTAGATGTATATCTGCGGTATGGTAACACATGCTAGACATTTATAGTAATGTAATCAGACTACTTTTGGATTACATTTAGATTACTTTTGTACCTTTATTTGATGTTGCATATATCAAAGCAATATAATTTTGTACTATTTTGACAGATATCCTCAAATATATTCATTCTTTACAATAAGAGCCTCAACAGTTTATTTTTGCATTTGATCACAAAAAACCAATAACATATAATCCACTTCTACCCAGCTCTGCATATGAGTAGCTTTTTTACATGCTGAATCTGAACATTTACACTTTTAACAGGTGCAAAATGACTGGAGTTGCTTGAACTTGATGCACCGACTGGGAATTGAACTTTGCTCAACTATATAGTGTGTTATAGGTACTATAAATCAGCTTTCTTCCTCATAGGTTCTGTTTGTGTTTGTGTTTTTATTTCTAGAGAAACTCTACCTTGTTCAGTATCCACGGGGGCCGAACGTCTTCAGGCCTGATCTGAGTTTTGAGGGTGTTGGAGAGACCGAAGCAGAGGTAATAATAGCAGAGACTGTCTATATAACTACACAAAAACCATCAGTTGTGTTACTGTGAATGAGAAACTGGTATGTCCATATATGGCAGTTCTAGCAAAACAAGCCCCGCCTTCTATTTGAAACCAACCTTGAAATAAAACATGTGCATCATTTTCGCATTTGGTGTTACCCCAACATTTAAAATAAGTCTGGGTCTAATAAGGACAAACCCAACAGTTATTTAATTTCAATGTATTTGAAAACAATTAACCCAGTGTTTGTTCAAATGCAGCTGTTTGTGCTGATCAAGAGCTGCTGGGAGGAGGATCCAGAGAAGCGGCCAGACTTCAAGAGGATTGAAGGAGCTCTGGGGAAGATCTTTAGGTGTGTATGTTTGAATGACAACTCATGTTTGACTGAGTCAGTCTGTGTGTGTGATGTGCTGAAGTGCTGTGTGTGTTTCTGCAGTAACCTCCACAACCAGGCTAATGCCAGCTACATGGATAACCTGATCCGCCGACTGCAGATGTACTCCAGAAACCTGGAGCACCTGGTGGAGGAGAGAACCGCTCTGTACAAGGCGGAGCGAGACCGAGCCGACCAGCTCAACTTCATGCTGCTGCCGGGGTCTGACACACACACAATATATAACTTTCCTACTTAAAACACCCTGGAAATGGCATGACATCAACATTTACTCTTCTTAACTTTATATTAGGGCTTGTTATACATTATATTTATAACAATATTTTAATAATAATATCATATAAAATTAATCATATTTTTGTTGCAATTTTTTATGCCAGCTTAATTTTGGGGCGGAGCTATCATTTATTTAGGGCAGAGCTATCAGTCATTTTGAGGCGGAGCTATTAGTACTTTGGGGTTGGGGCTATCATTTATTTAGAGCAGAGCTATCAGTTATTTTGGGGGCAAGCTATCAGTCATTTAGGGCAGGGCCATCATTCATTTTGGGCGGAGTTATCAGTCAGTTTGGGGCGGAGCTATCAGTAATTTAGGGTGGAGCTATTAGTAATTTAGGGCGGAACTATCAGTCATATTGGGTGGGGCTACCAGTCATTTAGGGCAGAGCTAATGGCCATTTAGGGTCGAATAACAATCAATAAGGGCAGGGCTATCAGTCATTTAGGGCGGAGCTATTAGCCATTTAGGGTGGAGCTATCAGTCATTTAGGGTGGGGCTATCAGCCTATTAGGGTGGAGCTATCAGTCATATAGGGTGGAGTTATCAGTCATTTAGGGTGGAGCTATCAGTCATTTAGGGTGGAGCTGTCAGTCTATTAGGGTGGAGCTATCAGTCATTTAGGGTGGAGCTGTCAGTCATATAGTGTGGAGCTATCAGTCACTTAGGGTGGAGCTATCAGTCATTTAGGGTGGAGCTATTAGTCACTTAGGGTGGAGCTATCAGTCATTTAGGGTGGGGCTATCAGTCTATTAGGGTGGAGCTATCAGTCATATAGGGTGGAGTTATCAGTCATTTAGGGCTGGGCTATGAGTCATTTAGGGAGGAGCTATCAGTCATTTAGGGTGGAGCTATCAGTCATATAGGATGGAGCTATCAGTCATATAGGGTGGAGCTATCAGTCATATAGGGTGGAGCTATCAGTCATTTGGGGTGGAGCTATCAGTCATTTAGGGCGGAGCTATCAGTCATATAGGGTGGAGTTGTCAGTTCTTTAGGGTGGAGCTATCGGTCATTTAGGGTGGAGTTATCAATTATTTAAGGTGGAATAAGTATTTGTCCTTTTAGGGCGGGGCTATCAGTCCTTTAGGGCAGGCTATTAGTCATTTTGGATGGGGCTATTAGGCCTTTGGAGGCGGGGCTATCAGTATTTTAGGGAGGGGATTATTTAAATGAAACTCAAATGGCATCTTTTGGAAATGCAAGTGCAGAATGTGTAAACAAGAGCACAGGGGAAAAGACTGTAACAAAAAAATGCAGAAAAAATATTTGGAAACCAATTGATTTGGAAAACTTATCATAAACTTATCTTAACACATCATAACTTTACCCATTATTTTATTTTTTAATTTACGCTTATTATTTTTGTGATACGTTTGGTGTAAATTTAATCCTGTAATCCACTGATCCAGCAGAAGTGTCCGCACTGTGACAGTATTTGTGTTGCGTGTGTTACCCCCTCAGGCCGGTGGTGCGCTCTCTGAAAGAGACGGGTCGGGTGGAGCCAGAGTTGTACGACGAGGTCACCATCTACTTCAGTGATATCGTGGGCTTCACCACCATCTGCCACCACAGCACACCCATGGAGGTGGTGGACATGCTCAATGACATCTACAAGAACTTCGACAGCATCCTCGACCACCACGACGTCTACAAGGTACATATATAAAGATCAAACATGGATAATTACAACATTTTAAACATTCGATTTTTAATATAAAGGTGCTGTATGCAAGATGTTTACTTAATAAAAGCTGAGTGTGGGTCAAACCTTGTGTTCAGGTGGAGACCATTGGTGATGCGTATATGGTGGCGTCCGGTCTGCCGAGGTGCAACGGGAACAGACATGCGGTGGACATCTGTCTGATGGCTTTGGACATCCTGGAGTTCATGGGGACGTTTCAGCTCAGACATTTGCCAGGAATCCCACTGTGGATCCGAATCGGGATCCATTCAGGTACAGAAACGCCTGAACAATGCATTTGAGCTTTGAGGTGGCGTCAAAATCTGGTCAAAACTCATTAGAACCAGCAATCATTCAAAAACCAAACTATTCACACAGAGGTTTAGATATTTGTTTTGTATATTAAAGGAATAGTTCACCCCAAAATAGATGTACCTATAAAATTTCCAACACAGTAGAAACCAGCAAATTTTGTACTAAACACACACAACACGATTTAATCATCAAGCTGTGTATTGATATAAACAGAATCAGCGTTGTTGTTTCTGCATCAGGTCCGTGTGCCGCTGGAGTAGTGGGTAATAAGATGCCGCGGTACTGTCTGTTTGGAGATACGGTCAACACGGCGTCACGAATGGAGTCTACAGGCCTGCGTAAGATACACACACACACACACACGTTCACATATCCAGAAATACTAAACACACACTCTTCACTGAAGCACTAATGTGTTTGCAGCTCTGAGGATTCACGTGAGCGAGTCCACCATCAAGATCCTGCAGAGAACAGACTGCGAGTTCGAGTGTGAGCGCAGAGGAGAAACTTTCCTCAAGGTAAGAGGAGAGAGGCTAGATTTTAAACAATCACATGCATTCATTTTAGCTTCCAACCAATCACAGGCTCTCATCTTACCTTTCAACCAATCACAGGCTCTTATTTCAGCTTTCAGCCAATCTTAGCCTCTACCTTCAACTTCCAACCAATCACAGCTGCTCTTATTTCACATTTCACCTAATCACAGGCTCTTGCTTCAGCTTTCAGACCATCACGGGCTCTTATTGCAATTTCCAACTAACCAAATGTTCTTATTTTAGCTTCCAACCAATCACAGGCTCTTATTTGAGATTACAGCCAATTATAGGTGCTCTTATTTTAGATTCCAGCCAATTCAATTTTTGTATTTTTGCTTTCAGCCAATCACAGGCTCTTGTTTCAGCTTTCAGCCAATCATAGACTCTTAATTCAACTTCTAACCAATCACAGCTGCTCTCAATTCAGATCCCAGCCAATCACAGGCTCCTTTTTCAGCTTCCAGCCTATCACAGGTTCTTATTACAGCTTTCCACCCAATCACAGGCTCACATTACAGCTTCCAGCCAATCACAGATGCAAATACTACAGCTACCAGCCAATCACAGGCTCTTATTACAGCTACCAGCCAATCACAGGCTCTTAATACAGCTTCCAGCCAATCACAGTTTTTAACAAATTACACGCTTTTATCACAATTTCCAACAAATCAACAGCTTTTATTTTAGCCTCCTGCAAATCACAGGCTCATGTTTCTGCTCCCAACCAATCACAGGCTCTTATTGCAATTTTCAACCAATCACAGCCTTGTGTTTCAGCTATCAGACAATTATAGACTTCAGAAGATTTCAGTGTTAGTAACTGCCCAGCAACTTTAAAGCAATGCCCTATCAACTGCTCAGCAGCGACACATCAATGTCCTATCAACTGCCCAGCATAGCAATGTCCCAGCAACTGCATTGTGAGCCAATTACAAACTACTTCTACAGATCCCAACCAATCACAAATCTTTTTTTCAGTCAATCAGCCAATCAGAGCCTGCTGAAAGATTGTTCAGCGTAACAGCACAGGTTGTTTACCAATGATGTGTGTGTGTGTGTGTGTGTTTCAGGGTAAAGGGAAGGAAATGACTTACTGGTTGACTGGAGTCACGGGGCAGAAATACAGCCTGCCGACACCACCAACAGTGTAAGATTACCATTAACAGACACACACCAGTAAAACACTCACACACACACTGTATTTATGACTCAGAGTTGAATATCTGTGTGTGCGTGTGTGTGTGTGTTTGGATCGTCAGAGAGAACTTCCAGCGTCTGCAGCAGGATCTGGCCGAGCGGATCGTCTCCACACTGAACAAACGAGGGAACGAGCGGCGGAAAACACTCTCCACACGCCAGCGCAGAACACACACACACATACACACACACAGCGGTGACGGACAGCCAGAGTACCTGCACCTGACGGACCCTACCACATTTCTGTAAAACACACACACACACACACACACACACACCACCACCACCAAATACCTGTAGAACACACACAGACACACACAGACACACACACACACACGGCCCGTATGTATCTGTATCAGTATTCCCCCTCCTCTGTATCTGCTCTGATGTGTGTGTGTGATGTGTGTATCGTCTCTGCATCTGTTTATTGAGCTGAATGATGTACAGGACTGCAGTACAGTATGACTTCATCTGAACAGACGAGAGCAGCTGCTGTATTTACACCTTTATTAATCAAACCTGCTTATTTATACACCAATAAAGTGATCATACAAATGACAGAGGCTTTGATTCAAAGTGCGACCTACTATTGACAAACAGATCTTCATCAACACGATCCAAAAAAGACGATGACAGTGTCCCAAAATAGATCCATTCGGAGAAAGCGTTGCTGATGCGTGGATGCATCAGTGTGTGCGGTCATACAGTCTGTAGTCTGGAGTGTGAACATGACATGAGTGTGTGTCGATGTGTAGATGCTTTATAATCAGTATGAGGCCGTGATCACACTGAACTCACTTTTTTGTTACGAGGCGCGCCTTTTCTGAATGGTTTTCTAATGCTCGAGAGTGTTTTGCGCTGCTTATTTCAAGAATTCACAATTAGCTCATGATTTATACAGAGCTTGTCTGGAATGCTGTGCCAGAAGAGAGCTTAGGGAGGTCGCTCAGGTCGATCTCAAAACTCCCCCGCTGCTGAGGCTAAGGTGAACTTCCCGAGAGTAAGACATTAGAAAAGATTTAGGCTAATTTTGTTGATCCTGGAAGTCCGGTACCCTGCAGGGTTTAGCTCCAACTTGCCTCAACACACCTGCCTGGGTGTTTCAAGTATCCATAGTAAGACCTTGATTCACTTGTTTAGGTGTGTTTGATTAGGGTTGGAGCTAGAGGTCTGCAATTATTCCGCGAGAATAAATTTCCGAATAAATCGTGTGAGCGGTCGTTAACGGGTTTAATTTGGGACAGGAGTGGGCTGTCTAGCAATATCGTGGATATTGCTATGAGAGAGAGAGAGAGAGAGAGATTTCCCAGATAGCAAAATACACTCGGGCCAGTTCCGGCTAGATTCTCGCCTGCCAGACACTTACCACTCAGCCGGGCTCCGGCTGCCGGACTCCGGATGCTTATGGACTCACAGCCCGATTCCGGCCCGAATCAATCAGGCCATGCCGCATCCGCGCCGGAACCGGCCCGTGAGTAATGTGCGCTGCGGCCCGGAGCTGGCGCGACTCAGTATTTATAAACCTTTATATAAAACCTTTTGGTATTACATTGGTACTTGATACATGGTATTACAAGCCTTTGAGTTGATATAACAGCAAATGCCTGTGTGTCTGCTTGGTGCTTGTGTGTGTGTTAGTGCGCGCGTGCGCGTATGAGAGAGAGAGAGAGATTTGTGTGTGTGTGTGTGTTTATACAGACAGCTTGGCTTGGCTGTCTGGACTGTATAGCTGGGGGATTTTCGGTTTTGTTCTCCCCCGCTCTTTAGCGGGATCGGGCGCGGTGGGCAGAAAACGGGGCGGGTCAGGCAGCGGGACAATAAATTCTTAATATAAGCAGGAGCAATCGGGTTCGGGCTAAAACCTGGCGGGTGCGGGCAGGAGCGGGATTCAAAATTTAGTCCCGCGCAGATCTCTAGTTGGAGCTAAAATCTGCAGGACACCGGACCTCCAGGAACAACTTTGGTGACCCCTGGTCTATAATATAGAGCATATTTGGATGTAGGAGGAACCCGGGGGAAACCCACGCGGACATGGGGAAAACATGCAAACTCCACACAGAAATACCTTATGGCCCAGCGAGGATTCCTGCTGTGAGACTAGAGTGCTAGTAACTGGGCCACCGTGCCATCCATCCTGGATAAAGGTGGAAGGAGGGGAGTTTCTTCCAGACAAAGATAGTTGTAGAAAGGAAATGAGGATATATATATATAGTGACTTGGGATCCTTTGATTGGAGGATCGTGATTAGCTAATGTGGGCCAGCTGGGATAATCTTGAGCACGTGCTCCTATCGAAATTTAGTTCAATATTAAAACTTCTCATCACATTTTTGCCAGTTTTTGAGCAGAAAAAGTGTGAAACGTGAGTATTTTTCATTGTCCAATCAAATCAAAGCACATGAGGGGTTTCCGTCAAGGTGACGGCAGTGTTTGTGTTGACAAACTGACAACAGAGAGTTTTAAAGGCCACATGAATCGGAAATAGCATTTTGTTTCGTGTTCCTAGAGAAACAGAATATTAAATGAGAAAACAGTGGGCGTGGCTTGTTTTATTCTGCTGCGAGCTGATTGGATGTAGTGCAGTAGGCATTTCATTCAGACAGATGGGGAAAAGAATTTGGGGAGAGTTATTACAACCTAACGGAGTCCTCCTGCTCACCATTACTGTTTGTTAACTGGTAGCTGGAGCTGAGTTAAATTCTCAGATTAGGTCTGTCTTAGGTTGTGGGCGTGGTTAAGTGTTGTAGCCACGCCCACAACCTAAGACAGACCTAATTTGAGAATTTAACTGAAAACAAAGAAAGTGCATTTTCAGATTTCAATGAAAGATTACAACGGCAAACTTTTGTTTTCTTAATGACATGCACAGATAAATTGTTCACCTCAAAACTAGCAATGTGAGCTAACTGTGCGTTCACACTGAAGACGGCGAGAGCATCAAAGTAGCCGGAAGTCATTCATTTTCAATAGGAGTCGGCGGCGATAAGCAGCAAGGTGCGTCTTTGGAAGTGTGGGTGTCGAGGAGAATTGAAATTAAGTCAACTTTATGGTAATGTGCTGTGACACGGTTCAGCAGCAACCAGTCGTAATGTAGAAGTCCACCGCTTCAGAGGATTCCACAGAGCACAGTCACTGTGAACTTTGGTTCCTACAAAAGTCATTCCCAAGGGTTTTAGTATTAGAGTCGCTGGATTTCCAGCTATTTACGATGTTTTCTTACAGAGACTTAAATGAAAAAAAGTTACTGGCGAGTTACTGATGTGCATTAATCTTACTTATGTTTTGTCTTTAATGGGAATCTTATGCTAACTAAGTGCAAAACAGTATTGCTGCTTCAAAATATTGCACACATATAGACACATTTGCAGTGGTGTAAAGTAACTAATTACAAATACTCAATCTACTGTAATCGAGTAGTTTTTCTCAGGAATTTACTAAGTAGTTTTATAAATATGTGCTTTTATTTTCCCTTAAGCACATGTTTAGTTCTGTATGAGTACTTTTACTCCACTTCTTTCCTTCAACCTGCAGTCACTACTTTATTTTTTCTTGTCTTTGAGGATTATAAATCAGTCCTGTGATTCCTGTCCAATCAAATCTCACATAGAAGGTAAATCACATCGTACTGACCTACCTCAACACATGGGCGATTTATAAATGCAGCAAACTGTTTGGAAGAATTAAAAGTGTCCAAGATGATGTCCACAATCTTTACACGCATTGATCCAGAGACTGTTTAGATGCATGTCACTGTGGGGGGGTTTGGGGTGGTATGTTTTGTGGGATAGGAACCTAAAGGCTGAGGTGGGATGGAATTACAGGAGTTTTCCGGGAGACATAACAATATGAGAGATGGGTCTGAAATACAGGAGACTCCCAGCAAAAATAAGAGTACTGGCAGGTATGCATCATGGGGACATTGCACTTTGTTTGGTTTCCAAACAAAGTGCAATGTCCCCATGATGCATACCTGCCAGCACTCTCGCTTTTGCTGGGAGTTGACGTCAGAACTCAACCTCAGGCCAACGTCAATGTCCAGCGACCAACTTTAAAATCAACCAAATATCAACGTCTAATGATGTTACAGCTTGACGTTGTGTTGGTGTTACCATTATGAGGTCTATCAGATGTTGGATTTTGCTTGCCATACCCGAGGAATAAATGTCAGTATTTGACGCCAATATGATGTTGGTTTAAGATGTTGGCTCGACATTGGATTTTGATAAATAGTGCTAAGCATTTTCACGCTAGAAAGCACAATTTTGTGTGGGAATGTAGGTGATTTGCTGATATGCTACACTGGCCCCTTTAAATTCGAGTCCCATATAGCGAATGTTGATGGTCTCGCTGCCGGAGCTGTGAAAGCAGACGGTGTTGTCACCAGAGCGAACTATGACGCTCTCGTTGCCTTTGATGTGAACGCACTATGACAGAATCCATAGGTTAGTTTTGATGTCATGTGTACTTTAGAGATGGAAGAGAGACTAGCGGTCGCCGTCTCAAGTTAATCGGTTAATCATCACAAATCCTGAATGTCACAATCTAATTAAATATTACAATAAGGACAATATCAACAGCAGCGCTCACTTATAATACGCAGCTGATTCAGTGGTTGCCTAGCGACATAATAAGCAAAATGCATCAAAAAAGGCAGTGCCTCGCGTTCTCTTAACGAAGAATTGCATTGGTGTGAAAATCGGCCCCCGAGTCTTTTGTTTCTCCTCCTCAGACTTCAACAGGCTGTCCGGTTTTAGTGGTGACGAGGGCGGAGTCTCCTAATTCTGTGGCAGGGAGTGGTAACCCATGCTCCACCCATCCATTATACAGACCCCGCCCATTGCAAAGGGTCCGCCCGCAGTGCTGCTCACTGATTGGCATTTCTTGCGTCAGGTTGGCCAGGTGTTGCCACGGCACTTCCTCTTCCTGTTCAACGGCTGTCTGAGTGTGGGGGGTCATTTCCTTTTCATCTGCAGGACACAAAAATAATGACAGTCAAAACACTAATCTTTATCGAGAAAGGTCTGTTCACTTGGCGACCAGATTTATAATGCTGTGTTCTCACCAGACGCGGAAGAAGCATCGAGTGAATTACATGTTAAGTCAATGCAAAGGCAGGAATAGACATCCACGGTGCGATACGGACAAATGGCGCGATACGAGCGAATGGCACGGCGTTCAAAGTGTCTGAACTTCAGCAGACATTTGCGCAGTGTTAACCAATCAGGAGCTTGCTCTTGTGGGGGGTCGTGATTATGACGTAGCACCGACAACAGTTGATCAAACTGGGCTGGGCTCAGTCAGAAGCACAGCTGAAAGCCTCCATCAGCCAGGTTCAGTTTCTGGAGGAGTTTATGAGCTCAGAGCTGGTGCACCTCTGAAAGGATCTAGTGGACTCAGACACGGCTCCAAACCTTTTGATGCTGTTTTTCAGCCTTCATAAAGCACATAAACACTGTTATTTTCTTAATAAAATCCATGCTAGCCATTTAGCTATGAAGCTAGAGTCACCGGGTAGACAGAAGCCCTGCCCATCACGCGAATCCGCGTCTGTTCTAAAGT